GGCTGAGAGGCCAGGCAGTTCTTCCTGGGCATCTGGGCAGTTCAAGGGCAGAGCTTTTCTGTAATCTAGACTGCCACTCCCCAATCCAGGCTCTGCCCATCAGTCATCTGCTGTCCCCGAGGGCTAGAAAAAAGGCTGGGAGTCCTCATGCGGGTTTTAGAATTTCAAGGAGTTCCTGGAGTCCTAACGACACCTGCCCCCAAATCCCTTGAGCCCACTGCCCCATTTCTGCCGGTGAAAGTAGATTTTGGACAAGGTCCAGAAGATCCAATTTGTTGGGGGGGGGGGTGGTGAGGAAGTTTCAAGAAGTTATGTCCCTCTATACACCCACCCCACTCTCCAAGTTAAGTATCCCCAGACCCCATTCTGAAAACATGCCAGGCACACAACCAGTGTGTGGTGTCAGGGAGAAGAGCCATCGAGTACTCTTTCCATCCTCTACTATGTATTCTGCTGAGGGTGGTGTCCACAGTGCCTCTATTGGCTTGACAATTGAAGAAACTGAGGCGCAGAAACAGGCAGCCTATTATATACTATGAGAAAAAAAAGGATCCCCCCCAAATCTGAGGGTCTTTGTCCCTTGCCCCACCTCACTTTCTCCCAAGTTACTCCTCCCTGCCTTAGAAGCCCTGAGTCTGCTGAAAAGGCCAGAAGGTCGGGAGGAGGGGAGCCCCGGGTCCCCTTACCAGTAACTTAACCCGGGGGCCCAGATGGACACTTGTGCTGAGGCAGCGCCTTTGGGGGAGACTCAAGAGGGCCATGTGGGCAGCTGCTGCCCAGGCCCAGCCTTGTAGGGCACTGCCCCCTCCCTCCCTGAACTATTTTCACTCCTAGCTCCCCTGCGGAGGGAGCAAGACACCTGGGTTCCCTAAAGAGAAAATGATTCCAGCTGGACTGAGAAAATGTCGGGGAGCTGCAGGCCAGGCACAGGGAAGGCACATGTGGCCATTGGACATGCCTTTGCCAACTACGTGTGATTCCAGGAAAGGGCAAGGCGCTGGTGTGCCCAGTGGGATTTGTAGGACCCTAAGAACCCCAGAATTTCTGCCGGGTTAGATGACAGAAGTTGACTGCAGGGGTGGGGAGATTGAGCTGACTGGGCTGAGGTGCCTGGGGTGATCCACCCTCTACCCTGCCCCCCCCCTGCACCTGTCTCCAAGCATGGCTGTGGTCCCTGAGTTCGGCAATCCCCGGGTGATGTCATCCCTGCCCCTGGCTCCAGCTGCCATTTGCTCCTCAACAACTCTTGTCTCTACCCCCAGCCACCCAGCCTTCTCCCAGGTCCAAGTCTATGTGTCCCTACCGGTCTCTTTCTTGCCTTTGTCATTTAAAATATCAGAACCATCCTTTCATTCCAATTTATAGCCACCCATGTCCATCAACAAGGTCCACCAACAACCCCAGTCCACCAGAACAGGGTTGATGCTCTGAAAACCAGGCAGCATTCCCTGTAGATGCACATGTGGGCTATTTCTTCCTCATTCCACATGGTTTAATTGATAAATAAATTAATTAGTAAGACTGTAACATCCTTGTTGTCAGACACCGCTCTGCCCCATCCATCCCTGCTCCTGCACGCCTCTTAGTGACTGCTTCATTGCTTACTAGTGGCTGCAGTAGCCAGGGTCTCCAGCTTTGGAGCACTCCCGCTCTCCCCTGATACCCGAGTCCTCTTCAGTTGACCACATTAAAAAACAATCAGCTCGGGCTGGAGAGATGGCTCAGAGGTTAAGAGCACTGACTTCTTTTCCAGAGGTCCTGAGTTCAATTCCCAGCAACCACATGGTGGCTCACAGCCATCTGCAATGAGATCTGGTGCCTTCTTCTGACATGCAGGCAGAACACTGTATACATAATAAATAAATGTGTTTTAAAAAAAAACAATCAGCTCATAAATATTTCTTGGTTTTTTTTTAAGGTCTCATGTAGCCAAGGATGACCTTGAACTGATGATCCTCTGCCTCCTGTTTCTTTCTTTTTAGACATTTTATGAGATTTATTCATTCTATTTTATGAGGAGCGTTCTGCCTGTGTATATGTATGGGCATCACATCCATGCTTGGTGCTTGAGGAGGTCAGAATAGTGCATCAGATTCTCTGGCCCTGGAGTTATGGGTGGGAAATGAACCACAAAGTGGGTGCTGGGAATCAAACCCTGGTCTTCTGCAAAAGCAACAAAGCAACAAGTGAGCATCTATCCAGCACTTCCTCCATCTCCTCTTCCTTTTCTTTCCCTTCTTTTTCTTTCTTTCTTTTTTTTGTTTTTTGTTTTTTTCGAGACAGGGTTTCCCTGTGTAGCCCTGGCTGTCCTGGAACTAGCTCTGTAGACCAGGTTGGCCTCGAACTCAAACTCATAGAGATGGAGTGCCTCTGCCTCCCTAGTGCTGGGCTCCTTCCTCCACTTTCTGATTGGGGGTTGCAGGCACGCACTACCACGCCAGGTCTGAAGGGTGCTAGGAGTCAAACTCAGGGCATCTTAGGCGCAAGGCAATCACTCTACTGAGCGACATCCCACATGTTCCATAAATACATCTTTTCTAAAAAAATCTTTTCTTTAAATCTGGGCAATGGTGGCTCATGCCTTTAATCCCAGCACTTGGAAGGCAGGTGGATCCCTGTGAGTTCAAGGCCAGCTTGGGCTACAGAGTGAGTTCCTGACAGGGTCCAAAACTACACAGAGAAACCCCATCTCAAAAAAACAAAAAAATATTTTTTTCTTTAATGATTTATTTTTATTATGTGTATGTACATGGGTGTCCATGGAGACCAGAAGAGGGTGTCAGATTCCTGGAGTTGGAGTTACAGGCAGTTATAAACCTCCTGACATGGGTGCTGGGAATCCAATCTGGGTCCTTTGGAAGAACAACCAGTGCTCTTAATCATTGGGCCATGATTCCAAACCCATAAATAGGTCATAAGCAGATCCGGATTCAGAATAAAACAAAGCACAGCTACACCCACACCTCCTCATACCCACTCTCATGTCTTTCCGTCCCTTGTATCCATTCTCACCTCCTCATTTCCCCTTCTCTTCTGACAGCCATTGTCCCTGCTCTGCAACCAGAGTGAGCTTTTAAATTTACAGCCCTGGGCTGCCTTTGGGAGACGGAGGCAGGCAGATCTCTCTCAGATGGTCTGTTCCATGTAATGAGTGTCAGGATAGCCAGGGCTGCATAGAGAGGCTTGTCTCAAACATAATCAATCAAGTTCTGATGCCTCCTCCCTTTTGCACGAAGCTTCGCCAACTCTCTGCGGCTCTCAGGATCAAGTTCAAACTCCCTGGCTTAGCACCCAGAATCATGCATGACCTGGCCCCTGCCACCCCTCCGGTCTGTCTCTCCCCACCGATACCCCAACACCTCCAGCTTCATTCCAGCAGAGCCCACAATGCTGCAGCCCCACAAACAGAACAAGTGTTTCTCACTACACACTTTCCCTGTGCCTGCCCCTGCCTGGCATGCCCTTGTCTGCCCTTCCTGGGCCTGCACAAGCTCCTGCTCTTCCATCACAGCTCTGATGCAATGTGAGCCTCCGTCAAGAAGCCCCTACCTAATTTAGACAGTTCCTCTCCACCCCAGATTCCTCTGCATGTCTCTGCGGGTATACCTCAGAGACCAACATGACTCTGATTGGCTGTGAACTCCTTCAGGGCAGGGCTACAACTTATTAAAACTCATATTTGGGGCTGGGAGTGTAGCTTAGTTGATTAAGTTCTGACTCAGCTTAGCATGAATCCTCAGCTTGGATCCCCAGCATCAAATAAACAGGGTATGGTAGGGCATGCCTATAACCCCAGGACTCAGGA